AACCCCGAGAAGGTGCAGGCGGTCATAGACATGCAGTTGCCCCGCACTGTCCGAGAGGTCCAGAAATTAATAGGTTGTCTGGCGGCCCTAGGGAGATTTCTCAGCCGGGCAGGCGACAAATGCCTCTACTTCTTTTAGGCAATCAACAAGAAAGCTATGTTTGAATGGGGGCCGGATGCTGAGGCGGCCTTCGAAAAGCTGAAAGAACACTTGCACTCCAAAAGATAAAGCCCTTATTTTTGGCGCATCCAGTCGTGGTTTACACAGACCAGCCGATCAAGCGGCCCCTGACTACCATGGAGTCGTCAGGTCGAATGATTAAATGGGCAACAGAAATACAGAGCCTTGAAATCACATTCGAGCCAAAAAAAGCAGTGAAGGGGCAAGCATTTGCTGACTTCATAGTAGAAATGACTCGGCCTACTGATTCCGCAATTCCAGACCAAGTCTGGAAGGTCTTGAAAGGAATGGTGTCCTTCCAACAAGTGTATTATTCTGATAGAGGGTTCAGAATTATTACAGAGCTAATTCTTCAGTAAGGTCAAGTGATCGGAATGCCTAGGTGGAGGCCGCTTCCGATCAATAATATTAAGGTATAATTAATATTACAGCTTAATCTTAACTGAACCCTTCGGGTCGAACCCAATCGAACAACCGATCCGAGACGACGAATTAATCCGAAGGATTTAATGAGTCGACGTAGTTTTACGAATACAGACGTCGGATATCGAGCCTAGGGCGTCGAAATAAAGCGTTGCAAAATCACAAGCAACAAGTACGTGCATAGTCGTAGCTAGGCTAGGCTAGGTTATCGCAAGCCTAGGCGCACCATGTGTGTGCTAGGCGTACCATGGTGTGCTAGGCACGCCATGCGTGCTAGGTGCACTAGGCTGCCCATCGCAGCACCACCTGCGTGTGTGCGTGCCTTCGCATGGCACTGCAGCACCGCAGCGTGCGTGCATGGGTGCCTAAGCACTATCGCAACACTATCGCACCAAGCACATCACCCTTGTGCGTGGCCACTATCGCAACACTATCGCACCATGCACAGCACCATCGTAGTGCTAGGCACATGCGTGTGTGCGTGTGCACCATCGCCCAACAGCCTAGCAAGCAGCACCAAGCTCAACATGCATGGCTCGCTAGCAGCACGCATTCTAGGCCTTGCGTGCGTGAGTGCGCTGGCTGGGCTATGCGTATGCTGGCCTCGCTGTGCTGGCTATGCGAGAGGGTGTGTGCGTGTGCGATGGCAAGAGAGGCAAGGGCCAGCACCAGCGCCAGCAGCTAGCAGCGCCTAGCACTGGCACGCAGCAGCAACACAAGCATCGCCCAGCGCTAACACGCATTGCCTGGCTAGGGTTGCGAGGCTGCTTGCTGAGCTGGCTGGCAGTGCTTGCTGGCAGCAGCCCAACAGTCCTTGCTTGAGGCGGTTTGTGGTTAGTGGGGACCAAAGGCTTGGAGCATGCCTTGGGGAGCAAGGCAATGGTCCCCCCAAGGTTCATGGTCTTTACCTAACCTTCTCTCTCCCCTTGACACTTGTTGCATCGTGATTGATTTGATTATTAATTTATTTTGGAATTAAATTAATTATCAAAATTATTCGTTCTCCCACATTGGTTGGGAAATGAAGTTCAAGGGTTCATTTCCCTATAAATACCAAAGTTTGGGTATTTGGGAAAGAACAACCTTGAGTGGAATTAAAAGGCAACTCTTGATTTCAGTAAACCTTGATTCGTAAAACTCATAGTTTTATTTGTCCGGGTCTCGACTAACCTTCGAGACTTAGGACGCTCGGGTCGGGTTCGAGGGTACGATCCCGTTGGAGACCTCGTTTTTTTCGGGGTTCAAGTAAGAGCTCATAGTAGAGCGAAGCACGCGTCAAAGGTATAATCTTTTATCCTTAATTATGTTTTGCTTGTTAATTGCATTTGTTATGGGGGTGGGTCTTGGCGGGTTTCTTTCCGCATAGTGAGGGTCACTACGAAACCTAACAGGTCTATGTGGATGGGAGCTCCACTATGAACGGTTGTGGGGCAGGCATCATATATTTTAGTCGCCTGAATGTGACACGTATGGGTATGCTCTACGATTTCAACTTCCAAGCCTTGAACAATGAGGCAGAGTATGAAGCTTTGCTGGCCGGCATCCGCATGTGCAAGGCGGCCGGAGCAAGAAAGATAGTTGCCTGTTCAGACTCACAATTGATAGTAAGTCAATACAATGGTGATTATGAAGCCACCCATCCGGCCATGATTAAATATTAACAGGCGGTAAAACAGGCGGCCAGGTCTCTTGAGGAATTTCATTTAACTCAAGTACCCAGGTCCGAGAACAACCAGGCGGACGCCCTCTCTAAACTGGCATCCTCGGCCTCCTGTGACACTCCAAGGACCGTTTTCTTGGAAGTTATGGAGAAGCGAAGCATTGAGGAAGAACCTATTGGAATCCTCGATAGAAGCTCAACCTGGATGGACCCTATCAGGGCCTATTTAACAACCGGCACCCTGCCTAGTGATCGCTCACAGGCGGCCCTACTGAAAAAAACGGGCATCTAGTTTTGAAATGTGCAAGGGAGAACTCTTAAAAAAGGCTATCTTCAACCTCTCTTAAAATGTGTCACCCCAGAAAGAGGACAAGAGGTTTTAGAAGATCTGCATTTAGGGTACTACGCTTCCCACATAGGCGGCAGGTCGCTTGCGCAAAGAGCAAGCCGACAAGGTTACTTTTGGCCTACCTTGGAAACAGACGCCATGGAGATGGTGAAAAAATGTGACAAGTGCCAAAGGTTTGGCAAGTTAATCCATCGTCCGGCCACTGACCTCACGGCCATCCATAGTCCTATACCATTTGCTAAGTGGGGCATGGATATTCTAGGGCCTTACACGCCTGCAACAGGCGGTAGGATGTACATTTTGGTAGCAGTCGACTACTTCACTAAGTGGGTGGAGGCAGAAGTAGTTAAGGGTATCAAGACCAAGGACGTCATCTCCTTCATATGGAAGAATGTCATCACTCGATTTGGGGTACCCATGTCCATGGTTTTTGATAATGGTCCCCAGTTTGAGACACCTGTTCTAAAAAACTGGCTAGAAGACCAAGGTGTCTCTCACTTCTTTGCATCAATCGGCCGACCACAAGCAAACGACCAAGTGGAAGCTTTCAATAAAATCATCTCAGACGGTATCAAAAAGAAGATTGAACGAGCAGGCGGCCTATAGGTAGACGAACTACTGCACGTTCTTTGGGCCATCAGGACGACTAAAAAAGGGGCGACTGGAGAAACTCCATTCCTCCTAACTTATGGGGCAGAAGCTGTTCTACCAATTGAACACTACGAGCCGACTCTTCGTATAATGTTGTATGACGAAGAAGCAAATTGGGAATCCATGCGCCTGGCATTGGATTCACTCCCAGAATGAAGGGGTAATGCAGCCCTACGCCATGAAATCTATCGCTTGAGAATGACAAGGGCATATAATATAAGGGTACACAGGCGTCCACTCAAAGTGGTGGACTTTGTACTACGAAAGATGGAAGCAGTCGGTAGGGCCAATGAGTTGGGAAAATTAACTCCCAACTGGGAAGGTCCCTACCGAATCGCTGAAGAGGTTAGGGATGGCACCTACCGCCTAGAAACAACAGACGACCAACCCCTACCTAGAACTTGGAATGTTGACAATTTAAAGAAGTATTATTTTTGAATGATGTAATTGCCGAGAGCAACTAATAAAGCTTGCAAATTTGCTTCATTTATATTATAAATAAATAGAGAGGTATGTCGCCTGCTCCATTAGCAGTCGACTACTCTCCAGTTTGCACCAATTGAGGGGCATGCCGATTGGACAAACAATCGCCTACTCTCCATTTTCTTCACTATACTGTTTCAGAGGGGCATACTGCCTGTAACTTTACAGTCGGCTACTCTCCTATACTTGTAGTTGAAGATAACTTAGTACTTTTGTTCACCACAAAATAAACAAGGCCTATGGGCGGATGATCAGCTCAGGCGCCTTGACAACTGATCCTCTTAAAATTAAACTAATACGACCTGTCCTAACATCATAGCAGGCGTCCGGTGACATCCCTCCGGATGAGATTCGTTGCAGAGAGCAGCTCCCTTTTGGGTGGAATAATGCTCTATAAACTAAACACACAACCCCTAAACAACTGTCCCCAAGGACGACCACGTAGCCGTTACAACTGAGACAAGGATAACTCTATCACTAACCGAGCCAGAGGTAGCAGTTGACATCCGAGTCGGATGACCGCCTGTATTACTTGGAATAAATACAGGGGGTACCTCTTGAGTTAATAGCCAATAAACATTGGCAAATCAAGGGGATCAGCTGGCCTCCGTCGCCTGGTACCTCTACTACTCAAGATAGGGTGACGGAGACTGAGTAAACTCAGATGTTAACTCATAATCACTCTCTCAAACTTAGTATGGAACCCAAAAGGTATGAGTAATCTGCCTGTTTTTTAGCAAACAGAGGTACTCAAACCACTATTCCTACAAGGTTACTAACCTTTGAGCAAGCAGCCAAACAAAACTTGGCGAATCAAGGGGACCAGCCGTCATATGTCGCCTAGTTACCATACTACTAAAGCAAAAGTGTGGATCCAAAAAGTTCGACAGTCGACTGTTTTTTGGCAGACAGGGGCTCAAGAACACTATTCCTACTTAATCAAACAGGCGGCCTGACAACAAGCAGTCTGTTCCCTTCAAACTTGCAAAAATCAAGAGACCTAATGTATTTTCTAAAAAATACGTTGGGGGTTCGACTGGCTTCATAGGCGACTAGTTGCCAATCTGGAACAAATACAACAAGTCGCCCAGGGGCATATATGCAGTCGTCATCGTGAGTAGTCGGCACCTGATAAACCTCGCTTACTCGCAAAGTTTTCAAAATTTTGGGCATTCCAAGAAACAGACTACAAGCTAAAACAGTCGGTTTGACATTCAAGCGAATATCAAGCAAATAAGCATAAACAAGATTCAGTGATCAAAGACGACCAAAAAGTGGTCGCCAGTTTCGTAATAAAACAGCCGACCATGAAGACCGACAAAATATTCATAACCCCGACCCCATGGTCGGGTAAAGGAAATTCACAAACAAACGGCACACAGGCCGGAGAAAAGTTTGAAAAATAAAAGCTTTAAACATTGGGAGGGGCTTCCGAGTTAAAAGCCGCCTGATCGAGCGCCAGATCCTTCAAGGCATCCTCTTTGTTTGACTCGTTTTCAGGGGCAGGATTCTTAGGAGCATCCTCCTCTGTTGGCTGGTCGACCATCTCCTTGTCCTCGCCTGAGCTAGAACTGGCCGCCTCTTCCTCTTCTCTTTCATCCTCGTCAGCCGCCTGCTGCATGATTCTTCTATTGTACTCTTCAGTACAAGCGGTGAACTTGGAATCCCATTCGGCATAGTTAGCCTTTGGGAAGAGGGCCGACCAGGTCATCCTCATAATATTGGCCGAGTCCTCCATCATGGCCTGAGCCAAAGCCATCTTCTCAGTCTCAGCTTTGGCCTTGAGCTCTTTAGTGATGGCCGCCTCCTGCTTCTCTATGCAATCCTTAACCTTGTCCAAAGACTTCTGGAGATTTTCAGCCTTATGGGCAATGTTCTTAAGTGGCTGCAACTCGTCCCAGAGGCTTTTGACCGTCTTCTCCAACTACAAAACAAAATAGGAGTTTGGGGAATTTCATTCCTAGGACCTAATGTACATGTCCTTTGACAATTATCACAGGCCTTACATATATCATATGCATCTTTGAATACAGAGGGCTAGTAAAATCCGCTTTCTTAAACCTTGCGTGCAGTTCTCTTAGGTCAAAAATGTCCTCCACAAGCATAAGAATGACAAAAGGTTAGTATAGAAGGAAATTTAGAATCAGGTACGTACCTTCTGATTAGTTGATCAGCACAGTATTTCCAGAGATACGGGCCATCCCATATATAATACTTCGCTATGCTCCGCATCCAATCCTTTTGTGCCTTTGTGTAGTTTGTTAAAAACTTCCGAGATACTAAAAAATTTACCAAATCAGCATACGAAGGAGTTCTTGAGCTCAAGGCATGAAGTTGCTAATCGGGGAACTCTTCATTGATTGGGGCTTTATCTTCATCAACTTCAATAACTAACCTGCTCAAATGATCAGCAACACTATTGTCAGAACCTTTTTTATTTTTTACTTCAACATTAAATCGTTGAAGCAATAAAATCCAACGTATTTGCCTAGGTTTTATTTCAGCGCTGCATGATCAGTAAACACAACAATTTTAGTACCTAATAAATAAGACCTAAATTTATCTAAAGCAAAAACTACAGCTAAAAGTTCTTTCTCAGTTGTAGTATAATTAGCTTTAGCCGCATCCAAAGTCCTTAAGGCATAGTAGATGGCATGGGGAACTTTTCCAACTCACTGGCCTAGCACTGCCCCTACAACATAATTAGAAGCGTCGCACATCAGCTCAAACGAGAGCTCCCAGTTAGGAGGTTGTAAAATAGGGGCAGTGACCAACTTGTCTTTCAGCTTGTCAAATGCTTGCTTACAGGCCTCATCAAAGTGGAACTCCACATCTTTTTGGAGTAGTCCGCATAGTGGTTGTGCAATCTTCGAAAAGCCTTCAATAAACCTTCGATAGAAACCTGCATGGCCAAGAAAAGAACGAACTTCCCGCATAGAGGTGGGGTAAGGCAGAGAAGAAATAAGATATATTTTAGCTTTATCGACTTTTATTCGTTCAGAAGACACAATATGGCCTAAAACTATACCTTGAACCATGAAATGATATTTTTCATAATTAAGCACAAGGTTAGTTTAAAGACAACGTTTAAGAGCCAAAGTGAGGTGTTCTAAGCAACTATCAAAAGAATCTCTATGCACAGTGAAATCATCCATAAAAACTTCTATGAAATTTTCAAGATAATCTGAAAAGATGCTTACCATACATCTCTGAAAAGTCGCTAGAGCATTGCACAGTCCAAATGGCATACGACGATACGCAAATGTGCCGTACGGGGATGTGAACGTCGTTTTTTCTTGATCCTCTGGAGTTATAGGTACTTGCACATAACCTAAATATCCGTCAAGAAAACAGTAATAAGCATGACAAGCAAGATGTCCTACCATTTGATCAATAAAGGGTAAGGGAAAATGTTCTTTTCGAGTCATAGAATTAAGTTTCCTGTAATCTACACAAACTCTCCACCCATTTTGAACTCGTGTGGGAACCATTTATCCCTTATCGTTTTCCACCACTATGACTCCTTACTTTTTTGGGACCATTTGCAAGGGATTGACCCAAGGGCTATCTGATATAGGGTATATCACCCCTACTTCAAGAGCTTCATTACTTCTTTCTTCACCACTTCCATCATAGGTGGATTAAGTCGCCTTTGCACTTGTCTCACAGGTTTAGATCCCTCTTCTAATAAGATTCTATGTTGGCACATAGAGGGACTAATTCCTTTTATATCAGCAACCGTCCACCCTAGAGCTGTTTTATGCTCCTTGAGAACTTGCAACAGCTTTTGCTCTTGAGTCGGAGTTAGATTACTCGCGATTATGACTGGCAGAGTGTCATTTTCTCCCAAAAATGCATACTTGAGATGGTCTGGCAGTGGCTTTAGTTCCACTTCAGGGGCCTGTACAATAGAAGGCAGAAGTCTGTTAGATGTGACAGGCAATTTCATAAAACGATCTGCATACCTTCCTTGCTTATTTGGAAGCACTTCCAAGGAAGAGAAAGCTTCCTTGATCTCATCTTCAAGCTCAAAATGTTCCTGCAAGTCAGTATATTTCTCTTTTTCCACAGGTTCAGTCAAAACAACATCTAACCCATCATGACCAGAGAGAAAAATTACTTGCTCAGTTAGTGCATCAATGACATCAATACTAGAAACAGATTCACAATCAGAATGGTATCTCATTGCATCAAATAAATTAAATCGGATAACCTCCCCATCAAATTCCATAGTCAAAACCCCACTATGAGCATCAATCTTGGTTCTAGATGTTTTTAAAAAAGGTCTCCCTAATAAGATTGGTGTTGCATTAGAGGATTCATCATTTGGCATATCTAAAACATAAAAATCAGCAGGGAATACCAATTCATTCAGTTGCACTAAGACATCCTCAACTACTCCTATAGGGTATGTATTAGAACGGTCGGGAAGCTGAATAATCACTCGAGTGTCTTTCAAAGGTCCTAAGTTCAGAGCTTTATAGATATATAAAGGCATGACATTAATAGAAGCTCCTAAGTTTAGCATGCATTTATCGTATCTCGTGTTACCTATTTTACAGGGTATAGTAAAAATATCTGGATCCTTGCACTTTGGAGGAACTTTCCTCTGTAAAATAGCAGGCACATTCTCACTTACACTGACTTTTTCATCTCCACTCAATTTCCTCTTGTTATTGCACAATTCCTTCAAGAACTTTACTTACCGCGGCACTTGTCTTATAGCTTCCAGTAGAGGTATGTTCACCTCAACCTTGCAAAAAATGTCTAGGGTCTCTTTCTCCTTTTCATGGTCTTTCTTCTTATTCTTAGATGATAACCTGCTAGGAAATGGAACAGAAGAATAAAATAGATTAGTATTAGGAGAAACAACATCACTTACCTTAGGGGGTTGCTTATCTTGTTCTGGAACAATAGTCTCCTGTTCCTCTTGGTGTTCTGCCAGCCCTTTAGTCTTTTTCGCTGGGATCTCTAATTGCTTGTCACTTCTAAGTGATATTGCACTGCCGTTCTCCTTTGGTCTCTCTGGTTAACTCGGAAGCTTGTTAGAGTTCTGAGCTTGGAGCTTTCCCACTGTGTTAGCTAACTGGGAAACTTGGTTCTCCAAGTTCTTTAGACCACTTCTTGTCTCTTGCTAATAATGCAAAGTGTTGTCAGCCATTGACTTCATGATATCTTCCAGAGACATGCTACCAGATTATGGCTGGGAAACTTGCTGATTTTGAGGTCGCGACTGATATTGTGGTTGCTGATGAAAACCAGGTGGAGGATTAGATGCTTGCTGTTGCTGGAAAGCTGGTAGTCTGAGGTTAGAGTTGTTTTCCTGCTGCTGAGCATTACCATATCTCAGGTTTGGATGATCACTCCACCCAGATTATAATTCTGAGAGAATGGATCATAACGTCTTTGCTGCCCCTGACCACCACCAATAGAATTTACTTGTTCTTCTTGCAGAGTAGGGCACGTATCAGTTGGGTGTCCTACCATTGAACAGAGGCCACATGCTTTTTCTTGCCCTTTTTCGATCATTACTCGCTCCACTAAGGAAGTGAGTTTAGCTACTTGTTGCTCGAGGTTAGAACTCACCACTTCATTAACTTGACGTACAGAAGTGGACTTGATATTTCGACCTCCTCAATACTGAGAGTTTGCAGCCATGTTTGCAATCAGTTTCTTTACATTTGCAGGTGTTTTGTCAACCAGTGCTCCACCACTTGCTACATCAACTAAATTCTTATATGTCTCCTTGAGTCCTTCGTAAAAGTATTCTACTAATAATTGCCACTGATCTGATGGTTTGGACAACTATCACATAGTTTCTTGAAACGCTCCCAGTACTCATGAAGTATCTCTGCATCGTCTTGTCGAATTCCACATATTTCTTTCTTAATATTGGCTATCAAAGATGCTGGAAAATATCTTTCTACGAATACTTTTAGCATTTGATCCCATGTTGTGATGGTTCCAGCAGGTACTTCAAACAACCACTCCTTAGCAGCATCAGACAAGGCAAAAGGAAATGCCTTTAACTTGAGTTGGTCGAGGGTGACCCCATCCGGTTTCATCCCCGCACATGCTATGTGAAATTCCTTTAAAAATCTGCTAGCCTCATTCATGTGAACAGAACCTAAGGAGTTAGTATTACGGAAACCTGAAAATGTGGGAAGAGCTCTAATCAACCCCGGCTTGATCTCATTTTCTGCCTCATCGTCTACTATGCACAATAAATTTGGATCAAACGTTGGAGCTGTGAGCTGCTTTAGTGTTTGATCACCCATCTCAAAAATATATTCACCCTCCTCGTCCGAAAATGAACTTTCACTATGAGGTAACGGAATATGACAAGCTTGCTCCAGTATTGGAGCACGAGTCCTTTTAGTCCTTTTAGCTATAGGAAGAGTAGAAAAAGGATTAATTATAAGTCCTTGATTCCTTGCTGCAAATTCCCTTAATCTTTGATTCTTCGAGCTTATGTCACACATACACAAACAAGGAACTAGATGACAAGTTAGTAGGAAAAGTTAGCAAAAACACAAGTAATAATGTAATAAAAGGCCAATTCCCCGGCAACGACGCCAAATTTGGTAAGACTGTCGCTTGTCTACCAAAAATAAACCTATCTAAAACCTCCTAAAATGCAGTAGGGTAAGCTAGGGTCGATCCCACAGATAATTAGATCACCAAATTATTACTTGCAAATTTTAAAAACCCCTGATTTGAAGAATGACTATTACGATCTAATATAAAAACTATGGACTTAAAAATAAGCTAAGTACGGAGATGTAAAGCTGACAGTAATAATAAATATTAAAAATCAAGAATGACAAAATAGGGATCGGGAGATACAATATAGCATTGGAATATTGATTGATCATCGAATTATATAAATCATGTTTTTATCTCAATGTTAGCCGATGGGCGCGAACAAGCATTTAACACTTCCCTTAATTGCAAATAAACCAAATAAGCTCTTGGAGTATTGTCTAACTAACTAACAATCTAGAATAAGCTCTCTAGAATTGATTAATTAGAAGCATTAATAACTAGGAAGTAGCTAACTTAAGCCAGAAATCTCACAAGCACGAATTCGTGCAACTTAAAGGGCTGATAATCATAGGCATCGGATAAGTTTCAGTCACCCATAAAACACCTAAATTCTACTAAGGAGTATTAATCCGGATAATTACGTATCACAAATAAATATTCTAGCAATCAAACTAGCAAACTATACTAAAGATGGCCGGTCTAGAATATAATTTAACTAATTCATTCCGATAAAACAGATTATCAATCCAATCAAGATATAAACATAATACCCGCGAATTATAACATATTTATTCTCAAAATACGATAATCCAATGCATAATATATCTCCCTACCCACTTATAATCTAACCTGACATATTAAGAACTGAAATACTAACAATGGTAATTATATAAATCATATTTACGAATTAAGAGATAAATAATTAAATTGAAACAAAGTGTAAAATCATTCAACACGATCTAATAAAAGACTGAACTATTGATGGTAAAAATAACTTAGTAAACTACCCATTATTTTGAATTGCACACGCAAAAGTTGTAAACAATCAATTAAATTTAGAATACCAAATCAATGGAAGAACAACCACAAACGACACTCCAAGTTAAATTCCCACTACCGATGTTGCTGCCTTCTTGTTCTTTGGTGTTTTTCTTCAGCTCCGTCTCTGCACTGCTGCTCTGAGTTCGTTTCTGGTTTGTTGCTGAATTTCGCTGCCCAGAATGTCGCCTCCTCTTGCATGCAATTCGGTCTCACCATATAAAGCTTCCCAAAAATTCGCCACTCCTCCCAATGCGGTTGCCCAAAGTTATCACTGGGAATCTTTGATCCTGACCTACCCAAGTTTTTCCTCTCATCCTTGTCTGATTTCATCTTTATATTTTCTTGCTTGACAAATTGATAACCATCAATCTCGCTCAAGGGATTTACTGTTTGGCTTACCCGCAAGAACAGTGAGAACAATGAAGAGTTTGAGCTGCTCTCTTCTTTCTAATATGTTATGTGACAGATTGTTATACTTCAAGGCCCATCTATAATAGCTTACACAATAAAACAACATTGGGCTTGAAATAGTTGAGAGTCTACGGGCTTGTAAACTTTGCTTCTCTTAACTGGAGTGTCGTAATATGAAATTTGATGGCAATATTTTCTTTCCTACAAACAATAAAAATAAATAGTAGTAACTCGTGTCTAGATAAGAAAATTACGTAATATATCTTTAAACCATCAAATATCAATATAAAATCAAGAGTTAAATAGATATAAATATTATATTTTGTGACTCTATCAATACTACCTCGTTAAAAACCTTGTTAGGAAAAACCCAGTGGGATAAAAACTTGATCGAAGGGAAAAAGTGCAGTATAATAATTCCCCTGATTTCAGCATAGTTCACTAAGATGTCGCATTCCAATTTTGTGAACTAATAGCTCAAATTTCTTGGAAGGAAGTGATTTGGTGAACAGGTCGGCAAGGTTGTCACAAGATTGAATTTGTTGGATATCTATTTCCACATCCTTTTGCAGATCATGTGTGAAGAATAGTTTTGGGGATATATGTTTTGTTCTATCTCCCTTAATGTATCCTTCAGTTACTTGAGAGATGCATGCTGTATTGTCTTCAAAGATGGTGGTTGGATTTTCTGTTATTGCTTTCATTCCACATTCTTCATGGATATTACTAATCATCGACCTCAGCCGTACACATTCTTGTCCTGCTTCATAAAGGGCTATCAATTCTGCATGATTTGAGGATGTCGCAGTTAATGTCTGCTTTGTTGATTTCCATGAAATTGCAGTGCCACCATAAGTGAACATATATCCATTTTATGACTTGACATTTTGAGGATCCGATAAATATCCAGCGTCGCCATACCCAATGAGGGCAGCATCTTGTTTCGGTTGATAATATAGACCAAGGTCTTGTGTCCCTCGTAGGTAACGGAGTAAGTGTCGGACTCCCTTCTAATGCCTATATGTTGGTGCATTGTTGTGGCTAACAAGTGTTGGGTTTCGTAGTGACCCTCACTAGGCGGAAAGAAACCCGCCAAGACCCGCCCCCATAATAAATGCAATTAATCAAGCAAAACATAATTAAACACACGAAAGGATAAAAGATTATACCTTTGACGCGTGCTTTGCTCAACAATGAGCTCTTACTTCAACCCCGAAAATACGAGGTCTCCAACGGGATCGTACCCTCGAACCCGACCCGAGCGTCCTAAGCCTCGAAGGTTAGTCGAGGCCCGGACAAATAAAACTACGAGTTTTACAAATCAAGTTTTACTCAAATCAAGAGTTACCTTTTAATTCCATTCAAGGTTGTATATTTCCCAATACCCATGCCTTTGGTATTTATAGGGAAATGCACCCTTGAACTTCATTTCCCAACCAATGTGGGAGAATGAATAATTTTGATAATTCATTTATTTTCAAAATAAATTAATAATTAAATTAATCACAATGCAACAAGTGTCAAGGGGAGAGAGAGGGTTTGGTGAGGACCAAGAGAGGTGGGAGGGACCATTGCCTTGCTCCCCAAGGCTTTGCCCAAGCCTTGGTCCCCACTCACCACAAACCGCCTCAAGCAAGGGCTGTTGGGCTGCTGCCAGCTAGTACGCCAGCTAGTAGTGCCAGCTAGCCTAGCTAGCTAGCACCAGCCCAGCCAGTAGCCTCGTATCCCCAGCCAGGCAATGCGTGCTGGGCTGGGCGATGCTTGTGCTGCTGCTGCGTGCCAGTGCTAGGCGCTGCTAGCTACTGGCGCTAGTGCTTGCCCTTGCCTCTCTCGCCATCTCACACGCACACACCCTCTCGCATAGCCAGCACAGCCAGGCCAGCATACGCATAGCCTAGCCAGCGCACTCACGCACGCAAGGCCTAGCATGCGTGCTGCTAGCGAGCCACGCATGCTAGGCTTGGTGCTGCTTGCTAGCTTGCTGTGCTTGGTGCTGCCACAAACGCACACACGCATGCGCCTACTGCGATGGTGTTGTGCATGGTGCTAGGGTGATGCGATAGTACCCACGCACATGCACACACACATGGGTGCTGTGCTTGGTGCGATAGGGCTGCGATGGTGCCTAGGCATCATGCCAGGGCTGTGATAGCGCCTAGGCATGTTGCTAGGGTTGAGATAGCGCCTAGGCACTCATGCCTCGCCTAGCACACCATGGTGCGCCTTGCACACACATGGTGTGCCTAGGCTTGCGATGAGCTAGCCTAGCCTAGCTACGGCTACGCTCATACTTGTTGTTTGTGATTTTGCGATGCTCGGTCTCGACGCCCTAGGCTTGATATCCGACGTCTGTATTCGTAAAACTCCGTCAACTCATGAAATCCTTCGGATTAATTCGTCGTCTCGGATCGGTTGTTCGATTGGGTTTGACCCGAAGGGTTCAGTTAAGATTAAGCTGTAATATTAATTATACCTTAATATTACTTATCGGAAGCGACCTCCACCTAGGCATTTCGATCACTTGACCTTACTGAAGAATTAGCTCTGTAATAATTTTGAACCCTCTATCAGAATTATACACTTGTTGGAAGGACACCATTCCTTTCAACAAGTTCACAGAGAAAGCTATGTCGGGTCTAGTTTGTTAGCTAAGTGCATTAAGGCTCCAATTGCACTTAAGTATTGTACCTTTGGACTAAGAATTTTTTCATTTTCTTCTCGTGGTCTGAATGGATTGTTTTTCATACTCAAAGAACGAACAACCATTGGGAAGTTGATTGGAGTTGCTTTGTCCATGAAGAATCTTTTCAAAACTCTTTCTGTATAGTTTGATTGATGGACAAAAATACCATGACTCAAGTGCTCGATTTGCAATCCAAGGCAAAATTTAGTTTTTCCAAGGTCTTTCGTTTCAAATTCTTTCATCAAGTATATTGCGGTTTTCTCAAGTTCATTTGGGGTTCCGATGATATTCAAATCATCAACATAAACTGCAATAATAGCAGATCCTGATTGTGATCACTTTATGAAAACACAGGGACTAATTTGGTTGTTCTTGAACCCTTCTTTCACAAGATATTCACTGAGACGTTTGTACCACATCCTTCCAGATTGTTTCAATCCATAAAGACCTTTTTAGTTTTATGGAAAGTAATTGTCTAGGTTTGTGGTTTTCTGGTAGTTTTAGTCCTTCGGGGACTTTCATGTAAATGTCTGTATCGAGTGACCCATACAAATACGCAGTCACTGCATCCATTAATCGCATTTGCAGTCCTTTTATGACTGTCAAACTTACCAGAAATCTTAATGTAGTTACATTAACTACTGGAGAATTTGTTTCTTCATAATTTATCCCTGGGATTTAAGAAAATCCTTGGGCTACAAGCCTTGCCTTGTATCTAACTATCTCATTTTTCTCATTACGTTTTCTCACAAATACCCATTTGTATCCAACGGGTTTTACACCTGCTCGTTTAAGAGTTATTTTTCCGAAAACTTCTCGTTTTTCAAGTGACTTCAACTCAGCCAGCATTGTCTCCTTCCACTTTGGCCAATCACTCATGTGTCGACATTCTTCCACTGTTCTTGGTTCAACATCATTTTCATTAAACACAATGTCGATTGCGATAAAATTTGTAAATATTTCATCCACGATAACATCTTTCCTATTCCACAGAGTCTTGGTAGAGACGTAATTCATTGAAATTTCATTGTTATCGATGTTTTAAACATCTTGTTCATTCCACGTATGGTTGTTTTCTTGTTCGTCCCCTTTTGGATTATCATCATTTTGTTTACTTTTATCCACATTTGGTCTTTCTTGACCTTCTGACGAGGGAACATCATTAGTCTCATTTTCTATTCCATCCAATCTTTTCAATTTCCTTGGTTTAGAATCTTTTGAACCAAGTGGTCTCCCACGCTTTCTGCGTGCTTGAGATTCATTCTCAATGGCTTTATCATCAGTTGGGATTTCAATATGTGTAGGGGCATTTCCTGCTGGTATATGTGATTTTGTCACCTTCTTTGTGTCTACAAAAGCATTAGGCAATTGATTTGCAACACTTTGTAAATGAAAAATTTTCTTGACTTCTTGTTCACACATATCTGTTCGTGGGTCTAACATCAACAGTTGTGTTGAATTCCAAATAAGTTCTATTTCTTTCTTGCGTGGTCCACTTTCTCTCCCCCTAAGGCTGGGAATACTGCTTCATTAAAGTGACAGTCAGCAAATCTAGCCGTAAATAAGTTACCAGTCAATGGTTCAAGATATTTAATTATTGAGGGGGATTCAAACCCGACATAAATTCTCAGCCTTCTTTGTGTACCCATTTTTGTTCGTTGGGGTGGAGCAATGGGAACATATACAGCACAACCAAAGATTTTTAGATGTGAGATACTTGGTTCTCGACCATAAACAAGTTGTAATGGTGAGAATTTATGATAAGCTGTAGGTCTCAATCTAATTAGTGTTGCTGCATGTATTATAGCATGTCCCCAAGCAAATGATGGCAATTTTGACCTAATTAATAATGGTCTTTCAATCAATTGTAATCTCTTAATTAGTGATTCAGCTAGACCATTTTGTGTATGAACATGAGCTACTGGGTGTTCAACCTCAATTCCGATTGACATACAATAACATTAAATGTTTGGGATGTAAATTCCCCAGCATTGTCGAGTCTTATTTTCTTTACTGTATGATCTGGGAATTGTGCCCTTAATTTGATAATTTGGGCAAGAATTTTGCGAAGGCAATATTTCTACTTGAAAGCAGACTGACATGTGACCATCGTGTAGAAGCATCAAATAAAACTGTTTCGGGGTTTTCCGGTGTCCTGCGGGAGAGTTACAATTCCGAGACTGGTACCCTTGCGCCTGTACTTGCAAAACAACGGAGACTCCGGGTGGTGGGAGCTCCGCCTTCGATGATCAAGTTAGTACTTGTATGTGGAGTAAATGGTGCGGAAAGTAAAGAGGGTGATCTGGTTTCTCTAAGGGAGGAGTGATTAGGAAGCGCAATGAATTGCTAAGTCAGGTTTAGCAA